TTAAGAAAATATAAATTCTAGAATAAGAAAATATAAAGGAAGAAATTTTTAAAGGAGAATTCGAAATGATTAAAATTTAAAATATTTAATTATAAGAAAAAATTAAATAATTTGAAAGGAAATTTCTAACTTAAAAATAAAGTTATGATGCTTTATTAAAAGAAAAAGAAATAGAAAATAATTAAATATAAAATAGATATAATTAAGCTTTATAAGAATATAAAGTTTTACATATAAATATATATGTATATATTTATATATATATATTATTTATAAATAGAAATTTAATACAGTTTAACATATTGATAATTCTTTATAAATGCAATTAAGGAATTAAGACGAAAGGATTTTTTAATTGGAAAAATAAATAGAATAGCAAAATGAAATTATATTCTAGTTTGACAATTCTAAAGCTTAGGTATCATTAAAAATATTAGATTTAAAATAATAAAATGAATGTTTATAAGAAGAAATTAGGGATATGTAAACTTAATTAGATATATATGAATAACGGTTTAAACAAATTAATAAAACTTAATAATTTTGAAATTTTATTTATTTGTAAATTATATATATTGTAAATATAAATATTAAAAAATAGTAAATATAAGAATATAACATATAAATATTAATTAAAATAATTAATTAAAAGAAATTTTATTTTAATTAATAAAAATATATTTTTTATTAATAATAATATAAAAGAAAAAAATATAATAATTAATATACAAAAAAATAGATGATTTCGAAAAAAAAGAAACATACTCAAATTTAAACCAAAAAATAATAAAAAATATATTTTATATATATATATATATAATATTATACTATATTAAAAAAAAAAAAAAAAAAATTAGTATTATTTTTAAAAAAAATAAAAAAAATATGGTGTAAAAAAAAAAAAAAATTAATTAAAAAGTATAATAAAGAAAGAGTGGATGAACATTTTCTTCGCTTTAACAATAGATATATAGTTTAGAAAAAAAATAGAAAAAATAATGATGATATTATAAAGAACTTCGATGAAAAATTAAAAGCTAAGAAATAATAAAAAGTTTGATATATCAAATGCTATATCTCAATTATTAAGAAGTTAAATAATTAAAAAATATATAATTGATTCGTATTAATAATATATATATATATATATATATTATATATATATATATATATATATTTATATTTATATTTTTTTTATATTTATATTTATATTTATATTATTAATATTTTATATTTTTTTTATTTTATTTCACCATTTTATTAATTATTATTATTATATCTTTTTAATATACATTATTTTTTTTTTTTTAATATGTTTTTTTAACTTATAAAATAAATCTTTATTTACTTGGAGGCTTATTCTAAAAAATTAAAGCAATTATAGATTTTATATTTAGCATTATATTCATATTTACAATTATTTATATAATTAAAAAATATTTTAAAATTTTTTATTTATAATGATATATGTTATCCATTTCAGTTTTTTTTATATTAATTATATTATTCAATACATAAGAAAGAAAAAAATCTTTATTAATATTTATTATATTTTTTAAATATTTAGATTATTTTAATTCTAAAAAATAATAATCATTAGCTAAGAATATTTATATATTTTTTTAATAAAAATAGCTTATTTTTTATTACTCAATATAAAAATATAAAAAAATATTAATTTATTTATTTTAGTCTTACATAAAATGTAAATGTAATAATAAACAAATTTTCATTACGAAATTTACTTAAATAAGTTAATTGTTTAAAATCATTAAAAAGGTTTATAGTAAATGGTTTTAAAATATGATTTAATAGATTTAAATCCTTTAAAAGTTTTAGAAAAACTTAAAAATTTATACTTTTAAATCTTTACCGGTATTTTAGAATGCAAAACAGCCTTAATTTTAAATAATAATAATGAAATAGAATATAATTTTGAGTATTTAATGTATATGGAAAATAATTGTTAAAAAAATAAAGAAAAAAACCTTTCTCATTAAAATACATGTGATTATTTACTTAGGTTACTATATATAATAGAATATATTAGTAAATGTATTATTGAATAAAGAATATGTTCAAAAAGAGAAATATATTATTCTAACATTTAATTATTTTAGGAAAATTAAAAAACAGTAAATGATAGTATAAAAGAACTTTAATTATTATTATAAATTCCTCGATTTTATTTAAATATAGGAGCTTCTAATAAAGGACTTTTAAGTGGAAAAATCTAATATAAAATATAAAATAGGGATGATATAATTAATTTAGGGGGCAATATAGGTGAATTTAGGCCTATTAGTTCTTTTGAGAAAATCGAATGGGTAAAAATTGGTGCAAAAAGACATGTTTTAATTGTAGAAAAAGAGAGTGTTTTTTAGAAAATTTTAGGTGAAAAAAATATGGAATTTTTTGAAGTTTTTGTAGTTTTTACAGGAAAAGGAAACGGGGACTATTCAACAAAAAGCTTTGTGAAATAAATTTGGATGGAAAATTAAAACTGTTTAGTCTATTATTTAGGAGATTGTGACCCTTTTGGGTTCTTTATTTTTCTTAATTATCTAAGTGGAAGCAAAGGGTCGATATATTAGTTTGATTGTTTACCAAATTTAGTGTTTTTAGGGATGGAATTTAGGCTTTTTTAGGAAAAAGTTTAAGGAATTTCATTAAATTAGGAAGATTAGAGGAAGATCAGGGAGGTAAATGGAATGTTTTAGAATGGGAAATGAGCAATAAGGGAGAAGTCGGGACTATAGTGTATTAGAGAATGAAAAGCTGGTTTTAAAATGTATAACTTATGGATAGATTTTAGATTAAGTTTGAAATTGAATAGATTTATTAGGTTTTGGAAGGTCTGAATATTAATTTAAGTTAATTTATTTTACAATTATTTTTTAATTAATATTTTTATTGATATAAAAAAGATTTTGTTTATCTGTTTTTTTTTTTAAAAAAAATGAAGATATTTATATTTTAATTAAGATATTTTTTTTTTAAATTAAAAAATAATTTATATTAAATACGAATTATTATTAAAAATAATCAAATTAACCTAAATATAAGAAAATCGTTTTCTTTTATTAATTTTTTTTACAAAACAATAAAAAGTAAATTGTATAAATAATAGAATATATATAATATGACATTTCCCTTTAATTAAAAATAAAAAAACAATGAATAAAATTTAACTTTATATAAATAAAATAAACAAAAAAAGTTTAAAAATATGCAAATACATCACCAAAAAAACAGGCCCTTAACAAATAAATAACAATTCAATATAAACCCAAAGTACTAATAAATCAACTTAAATAAAAAAAATCATTTCAAAGACTAAAACTTCATATAAAGCTTTTAAAATACTTAAAATTATTTTAATTTATATCATTATTAATTATAATAAGATTTTATATATATAAAAATATAAAAAAAAGATTATATGGACAACTTTTAAGATAATATATATAGATATATAAAGGTAATATATAAAATTTATATAAGTAAGCTTAGTTTAAAGCAAATACTTAAATATATCTAAATATTATATAATTAATAAATAAAAACACCTCCAATAAATTAACTTAAAATAATCTTATTTATACATAATTTAAAAAAATCGATTAAAAACGCATAACGTTTTAAAATATATAAATAATTTTCAAATATAAGTAATATTATTAAAACCAAGATTATAATTCTCTTATAAAAAAAAAACATCAGTATTTAGACATTTATATATTATTTTTATAATAGTGGGGCTATATATGGATATTTTTTATAATTAATAATAATCTAATATACTGTAGAAAAAAATTAAAACAAAAAAAAAATTCGTATTTTATATCTGTTTATGTAATAAAAAAGACTTCCGAATAAAAAAAAGTACTTCTTTTAGCTAAAAAAGAAAAACTAGAGGAGTTTTTCCATTTAGAAAACTAAAATTGGACTAAATAATCATTAAATTCTGAATTTATAAAGATTAAAATAATATATAGAATTTAGTCTAAAAAAAATACAAATATTTTTAGTCTAAAAAAAATAGAGATATTTTTAGTCTAAAAAAATATAAATATTTTTAGTCTAAAAAAAATAAAAAAATTTTATAGTCGAAAAATAATAGAAATTTTTTAGAATAAAAAAAATATTAATTTAAATAAATTGATTTAAACATATGTATCACATATATTAATTGTTTTAAATTAATATTAATCCAACTTTATTCAAAAATATCAAGTTTATGATAAATCTAAAAATCAAATAAAGAATTAATCAAAAAAATAAAAAATATCATATTTAAAATAAATAATTTAAACGCGATTATTAAGATTTCGAAAATATCCGAAAAGAATTTTTTTTTTTTTTTATATTATATATAAATAAATATATATATATAAATAAAAATATATATATATATTTATATAAATATATATCAATATTAATATATATATATTTAATAATATATTTATATATATATTATATTATTTATATATATATAATATTATACGTATTATAAATAATATTTTCTTATAAAATTATAATAGAATTTTATAATGAAATATTTTTTAATTTATTTTTAACTGTATATTTTATAATTTAAAAAAAATATTTATACATAAATTGTTGATTAATTAAATAAATTTATATATATATTTATATATTTATTAAATTAATTTTATATATATTTATAATTATTAATATTTTTAATTAATTAAAAAAATAAATATATATATATATATTATTAATATTTTTAATTAAAAAACAATAAAAACTCAAAATTTATTTTTAATTAAAGCTTTATTTTTAATACCAAATTCTTTCTTTTCTTCACCATTTATAGCTAAAATTTTTCCGAAATCTACACTTTCTCCTCTTTAGATCATATTTTTAGTTCTCTTTTTTGCATTTTATTTAGTTTGATTCCTTAAACTTTCTTTCCATTTAATAAATCCATTAAATCATCTTCATTAAATTATAGATTTTTTCCTATTTTTTTTATTTCATCTTAAAATAATTCTTTATCTAGTTTCATTTCTTCCATATTTACTTATAGAGCTTCGACATTTTCCATTTTAAATTTCATTTTCTCCATCTAATATATTATTTAATTAAAGATCAATTATATTGCTCTACCATATCCCTTAGTTCTACTCTATTCCTGGTGGTAATTTACAATACAGTACTTTACCCTAAACCACATCCTTTAGAATTAACTTTGCTGATTTAGCTTAATCAGGTAATCCACTTCCATTATAATAACCTTTACTTTACGCATAAAGATTTAAGAAAAAGGCTCCATCAGGCACCTCGACTTCAATTTTGACTTTATAGATCTTTTCTAGGACAACCTTAGGCACCCTCTCACATAACAAGTCCATTGGAGATAGAAAATCTTTCAATTTATCTATAGGAAGTACCCCATTTAGTGTCATTTCAGCCCTATTAGAAGCAGCATTAGGAAAGACTAATCCTGGACAATCACAAAGTATTATATTTTCTTCAAGGAAATGAGTTTAAAAGTTTTTAGTCTTTCCAGGTAAAGTTCCTACTCCTACTAATTTTTTATTACAAAGAGTATTAATAACTGAAGATTTTCCTACATTAGGATATCCAACCATACCTATTTAAAAAATAAATTCTTATTAATCTTAGCATCCAAATGATTATTTTTATTATTATAATTTATGTTAAAATATATCGAATAAGAGAAATTTCATTGATCCAAAAAGTGCATGCCTTGAGGCGATTTTCGGAGTGTTTAAATAAGACTTAAATTCCAATGGATCTAGTAGATCTTCTTCTTCATCTTATTCTTCTCCTTATCCTTTGTCAATTCTCATTTGTTCGTTTTTCGCACTAAAAAATATATGTTATGTTTTTTCCTAATTAAAATAATTACTCCAACACTTCCTTACTTCTTCTGATAATAAATCGCTTTTATTAATCACTAAAAAATTCTGTTTTTTTTCGAAAATTTCCTTCGTATAAATCTCTAAGTCTTAACATCTATAAAATAAAGGATCTCTTCCGTCTAAAATTTAAACTATTACATCCGAATTCTCCATTACCCTCCATAATTACTTCCAAACTTCTATGTTTTTTTCATATGGAGTAATTTAAATATTATAATGCTTTTCCTCTATTTTTGCTAGCTGTTTTCGCCATTCAATAAACGCATTATTCTCTTTTTAGTGTAATTCTTCTTTAGTCATATCATTTGTCCACTATGGTCTTCTTGGAATTCTTAAGTTTTTTAAATATTCATTATTTTCTATATTAAACATCCCATTTTTTATTTATTCCTCATCTTTATTTACATCTGTGATTATCTCTTTGTTCATTTATTCACCTTTTATTTTTACCCCCCTTAACGCATCAAATTACTTATTTTGGAGTTCAGTCACTTGTAAATAATCAGTCAAATTATCAGTTTCGATACATGATTTTAAGTCTCTAACTTAATTTAAGATTGCTTCGTTATTTTCAGCGTGAATAAATTTAGGTTCGTCAATTGTTTTAGGTTTGTATTTATGGTTTTGTTTATCAACTTGTTTCATTAAAGTACGACCTAATGTACCTTTATGTGCTTTACTTGCTCTAGGCATTTTTTATTTTTTATATTATGTTATATTATATTATATATTATTAATTTTATTTAGTTTTGTACTTAAATAATTTTTCTTTTAATATAATTATAATAATTCCTTAAAAATATCAATATATATATATATATATACATTATTATTAATTTAATTTTATATAATCATATATATTTAATATTTTTTTTTAATATAATAAAAAAAATATATATATATACTATAAAAAATATACATGATTTTTCTTAAAAAAATATCATATTTTGAACTTTAAATAATAATAAAGAAAATCCTTCTTTTTCATTAAAAATCAATAAGTAGTCCATATAATAACAGATCAGTAATATTTATAATAGACCCGAAAATAAATGAAAATAAAGTCTCTATTTAATTATTATTATTATTAAGTTATTTATATTATAAATAGTTATTTGACTAAAGGAAATTTCAAACAATATATCATACAAATCAATTTATTTTTTTATAAAATTATCCATTTTATATTAAAATTTAAATAAATAATTCCTTAACTAAAAGAAGTAAAATTTCTACTAATGGCTATATATTATAGTTTTTAATTTAAAAATTACCCATGGTCCGAAAACTTTGAAAAAAAAAAAAAAGTGCTTTTTTTTAATTCATTTATATTATTATTTTTTTGTATTTGCATAAAATAATTCTATCTTAAAATTAGAATATTATTTTTTCCTTTGATTAGAACCAATACTCGTTATAAATTTATTTTAATTAAATATCATTTCATCAATAAACCATGGTTAATTATGGTTTCTTCTTTATTCTTGATAAAAAGGATTCCATTAATTCATTGTCTTTTAATATTTAATAGAAATAATGTTTATTAGATATACAAAAAATGGTTTATTTATTTATTAAAAATATATATAAATTAATATTATCTAATAATTTATATAATTGAAAATTTTAAATATAAATTTTATTATAATAAAATATGTTTATTTTATTCTTTTCTAACTTATAAGCTTTTTAATACTAATGTTTTCTTTAAAAATATGACCCAATAATAATAATATTAAGTATTTATTTTCCTTTTGGTTTACCTCCCTGATCTTATCTCTAATCTGACTCTAATTATTTAAATATGTACAATACATCCCTTTTACTTTTTAATAATATTTTTACTTACTATAAGTATTTTATATTTTTAAAAAAAAGCAATGACTATCATTAATAAATTAATAAACCCTTTTTTTAGATAAGAATTTCCTATATAAAAGTATAAATAATGTCCCTTGTTTTATATTATTATAATCAAATAAAAATATTATTTTTTTAATCATTTTTAGTCTTATTTTTTAATATTCTGTTCTATTAAATATTCGTCTTTTCGAATTTTTTTCGTTCTTAAAAAAACAAAAAAAGTTGAATTATAAAAGTGTATAGAGTGTTTTAATAGTATTATTTATAGTTGAATTAGAATTAAAATAATAATAAAATATTTCTAAAATAAATGATTAAAAGTAGATATTTTTTTATTTTTAATTGAATTATTAAGCCACTAGACCCAAGAAATATGATTTCTTAAATAAATTAATCAAATAAAATATAAATTAGATAGTTTTCTATAGAAAATATAATTATTAGTTCTTGCTTTAGAGATAATATATACCTTTTTAAATATTAATTTAATAATTAGTTAATCATATATTATTTGTAATTCATATGTTTCATAAATATCTATCTTTTACTTATTCATTTATACAATTAAAAATTTTTTAATTACCAAAATGTAGTTAATTTTTTTTAAAAAATAATAGGTTACTTATAAATTAGTTATTAGATATTACTAATATTATTTTTATTTATATTTATAAAATATTTTTATATATATAAATTAATTTATGTTATTTATTATATGAAAAATATATATTTATATATTAATATAAAATAATATATATATATATATATATATATATATCATATATATTTATATTGCGTGTATTTTTTTTCAAATATAATAAAAATCTTTTTTTTAATCACATTGTTTAATCATGTACAAAACTTTAATTAAAGATGGTTAATTAGTATTGATTATCTTTCTAAAAAAAGTAATATATAGTATTATTTAAGTAATTTGTTGATATATTGATTATTACGATTTTTATATTTTAAATAAATAATGAAATTAAATTAAATATAATAATATTTTTATAAAAAATTGGTATTGATTTAATTAATTTATATCGTATATAATTATATTTTTTATTTTATTATATTAAATAAATAGAACTTATTATATTATTAACAAAATAAAACTACATTTAAAATATTAACAAATATAAGCAAAAATATATGTTAATCAAGAATACTTAAATTAATTATTATTAAAAAAAAATATATAAATAATATATACAAAAATATTATATAAAAAGATATATATTTTTATTAAAAAAAATAAATTAATATATACATATATATATATATATAATATATATATATATAATATAATATAATTATATAAAACGCTAAAATCAAAAAAAGTAAATTTTTTTAAAATTTAATAAAACATATTATTTTTAAAATAAAGACAAATAATCATTTTTGCTTTCACCTTAAATTCTTATCAATAATTAAAAATTTCTTACTCAAATACAAATAATTAATAAATAATAATAAAACAAATGTAACTAACACAAAAAAATCATATAAAAACCCTGGAATATATTCAGTTCCAGTATCAGGATCAATAGGATTTATAATAGCTCTTATTCCAGAAACAATAATAGCAAACATTTAAGGGAGAATAAACTTATAATATTTACTTAAATAAAGCTATTTATAATAAATCAGTTCTTATTTTGTTCCTTTAAATATATTAGGTTATTCATTTTCTTCATTATAAAATTAAAAATTAATATATTAATTATGATTTGAATAATTTTATTATTATTCATCAAATATAATAAGATGGATAAATGAAACTAAAAATATACTAGCATAAATGTTTATAAATAAATTAAAAACCGTTAAAGCCTTATTTGTATTATATACACCTATCTAAACCACATCTAATTATATTAATTCATATCTATAAAAGTGTCCAGTTATCATAAAATAATAATTTCCAAGAATGAATAGAATTAGATAAATTAAATCACTATTTTAAAAGAAATCTAATTTATTTAAATTTATTAAACAATTAATGACTATATAAAAAAATAAGTAATTAAGGGATGGTTTTAGCAGCCATTAAATAAAGCAAATTGACACTAATTGTTAATAAAATTTATTTCCAGATTTAAATGAAAGATAAATTAGAGTATTTTAAAAAGAATATAATTAAATAAAAGCTAATAAAATAACTAGAGAGAGGAAAGAAAGTCCTAAAAAAGATAATATTTTTATATTCTTAAGTTACAATGTCTTTATAAAGAAAATAAACACTCAATAATAGAAAATTAATACTTTAAGAAAACTTAATAAATACTCCCACTTTCCAATTACAAATATTATAAGAAAATTCATTAATTTTACTCCAATAAATAATCCCTAAAATAAATAAAGGAAAAACTACTGAAATATAATAATTAAAAAAAAAACTATTTCCATTTTCCCAAAGAAGTAATTTAAATTACTTTACTTAACTTTCTATATTTAAAACATTATACTAAGCTCCCAAAAGCAAAAGCGAGGTAACCCCAAAACAGTTTAAAATCACTTCTTTTTTATATGGATTCTTAAATTTTAATTATTAGAAAACTAAAAAGTAAAAAAATTAAAAAATAATATAAGTTATCTGCTAAATGTATAAAATAGCAAGAACTTCTCATCAAAGCATATAAAAAAGAGATTCCCCAAAAAGCATATGAACATATATCAAATGAATTATTATTATTTTATTAACTTGATATTTACTTATAAGTTAATTATAATACAAACAACTATAAATAACTAGACCAATTCCAATAAAAATTAAAAATAAACTAAATATAGACACAAAATACTTCTAAAGATAAACTCTACCAAAAGCCGATAAAATAAAAAACCCAAAAAAGGATAAAACATATTACTTCAGAGAAATACTAATAAATTTATCCTCGAAAACATTCTTTAAATTTTCATATACGGAAGTAAATTTTAAATTAAATAAAATTAAAATCACAGCTATATTCCATATAATCACTCCGTATTTAATATAAACTAAATTTGGTGTTTATCCTTCATTTCTGAATATACTCTTAACCTTATATCCGAAATTCTATATTTGACCAATAAATTACTTTAATTTTAAGGGATTTAATTAATAAGAGTTTTTATATTTAATTCCAGTTGTAAATAATCTTTTATATTTATTTTTTATATTCTTAGCCATTTCCATTAATTCATTAAATGTATTTTCATTAAGATTATGCATGAAATCTTAAATATCTCTAACTTAATCTTCCACTTATCTAAAATTTGTATAAAAGGCATTTGCAATAACTGCCTGGCTATTTTACTCTAAATCCAAAAAGAAATCCGAAATAATAATTCCCAAATTATTTCTAGGAATAGGACATCCCTTTAGCATACAAATAGTAGCAGTTATATCTAATTAATCAGTAGTTGAATTTAAATAAATAACATCCATTAATTAAGATATATCCATTTTTTATTGTTTTATGAATCCCTTTTTATTATATCCATATATTATAGTCTCGATTTCTTCAGTACTATTTCCTCCATGATTTCCATTTAATAACTACCCATGGTCCGAAAACACTAACAAAGTGCTTTTTTCACTCATTTCATTCATTAAAAATCCACTAATTTAATCAGTGGTATTAACTGCCTCCATTTTATCTATTAATGCGCTTGTTAATTCAAAGAATAAGTCATCCTATGACTAGCATCATCAATATCAACTTAATGTGATATTAATACACTCCAATCATCATCATAAATCCTTTTTTATAAATAAGCGAATACCTTTTAATCGTGTTTATTTAAAATATTAAAATTATATTAAGGATCAATAATAGATTCATAACTTTCATCTAAATCATCGGCAATATATTCTTTCCAATGGGCTTCTCCTACGACAATTATTTTATCTTAATTATTCTTTTTTAATTGGTATCCAATATTATCTTCGAACAATTTATTAAACCATAAAGAATATTAAACGGCCGCATGTATAGATATAGTACCAGTGGAAACCGATTTTACAATATTTCCAGTATAAGTAGGATAATCTGATATTCCTTTTATTAAAATTGTGTTTTTCGGATATTTAGTTAATTTTTAGGTAAAATTAGGAAAATATACATCGTAATAAATTCTTTTATTAAATTTATTAAATTAAGGTTCTAAATATTATTTGGTTATATTTGCCATAAAATCATACCTAACGCCATCTAAACATTAAATAATTAATTTCTCTGTAGAAGGAATAAACCAATGTTCATTATAAATTTATTTCTATAAAAGATTATCAAAATACATTTCATTTATATACGGATTTTTTTTTTAAGAATAACCAACTATTGAATGATTTTAATAGTAAATGCCAGCAAAAAATACAGCTACACCTAAAAAAAAAAGAAATAATATAAAAAAAGTAGATATCATAGGATTATTATAAAACATATTTTAAAAATAAAATACTGATTAAATAATATTTTTATTTATAAATAAATTATATAAAAAAATCATATTTATATATTAAAATATTTAAAGATTTATTTATATATTTATATATTTATATATTTATATATTTATATATTTATATAATTCTTTTTTTATTAATTAAATAAATAAATTATATTTTATATATATACAAATATTATTATTTTTATTTTTTTTATATATATAGATATATTTTTTATTTTCTTTTTTTTTAATATTTTTTATTTTATTTTATATATAATACTACAATAATTTATATTTTAAATATCTTACTTAATAATTACATAATAAGTATATAAATTTTATATTTTTTATATCATTATAATTTATTTTTAAATAATTTTTTTAATTTTTTTATATATATTTAACATTTTTTATCATATTATTTAATATAAGTATTTTATTTTATTTATGTATTAAATAAAAATATTTAATATAAAATTCTTTTTTATATTCTTTTATATTTAAAAAATAAATATAAATAAAATAAATAAAAAAGAAATATTTTATTCATTTGTTTTCTTTTTTCATTATAATAATAATTTACTATAACCATTTTTTCTTTTTTATTTTTTTATTTAATTAAATATTATATATAATTATTTAAGTTTTAATATATAGTAAACCGAAATAAATATTTTTTTTAATTATTAATTTATATATTACTTATAAAAAATAATAATATTAATTATTATATAAATTTATATTAAATTTCTAATTTTATAAATTATATTTAAACTAATAATTTTTTTTTTTATTATTATATTCTAATATTAAAATTTAATTTAATTTAAGTAATTTTATTTCTGATTTAATTTATAAAAAATTAAATTATATAATCTAATTAAATATATTTTAATTTTTTATTTATTAAAATAATATATACATATTAAAATATACAAATTTTAATTTATATATTATATTTAAAAATAAGATATAGAAATTTACTGAAAAGAAATTATTAAAAAAAAAAATTATTATATAATTTTTAAATGTTAAAAATATCACACATATATATTAATTTAAAAAAAAATTAATTCATCTATCTAAATTTAATCTATTAATATTATATAATTATAAGTAACTTTAAAAATATGAATTTATTTAAATATAATATATCTATTTTTCATTTTTTCAATTTTACTATAAACCTGCATAGTATTCCCGTTAATACTATTCTTATCGGAGCTGTTGTTTTATAAGCTACATATGCCATTACAGCATCAGAAACTTTTTATTAATTATTTCCCATTTCTATTCCTTTTCTTTTTAAAAAATCCTGTATTCCTTCTTTATTGTATAATACTAAAGCATATGATGTACTAAAAGTAATTAAAGATAAGCTTGCATATACTACTAAACCTGTTTTTTAGTATTTTAGGATTGTTTATTTATTAAACATTATTTTTTTATATTTTTTTTTAAATATTCAGAAATATTAAAAATGCTAATTCTTTATATATTTATTTTTATTTTTTTAAAAAAAAGTATAATTTAAATATAAAAAATTAATTTTATATATATTTGATTTTTTGAAAATAAATAAATAAAATTTTTGAATTTTAATAATAAAAAATACACAAAAAATTATATAATATATTTAATTTCTCATTAAGGAATTTAAGGTAAAGTCTATTTAACCAATAAAAGCCCACAAAAGCTTTATAAACTCTGAACACCTCTTACTTCATTTTCTTATAAAGGAACAATTTAAATATGAAAATCTTCATATAATTCAATAATCTAATCAATATATTTCTTTTGCATTTTAGATCTAGCTTTACACATTTTACACGTATCATCTAAAATAATTATAAATCTATAAACATTTATATATATAAATAATTACTTGGAAACAAAACTTAATTAATTATAATATTAGAAATATCAATTTCATATTTAGCTAATTAATATACAAGTCTATCGGTTTCATACATACTTAAAAATTCTGGAATACAAACTGCTACAAAGGTAGTTTTTTACTTTTTTAAAAATAATAAAAAATATATAATATAAAAATATATATTTATATATATATACAGGATCTTTCATTTATTCATTAACTTTTTCGACAGTTTTTTTCATTTTTTCTAAATTTTAAAAAACTTTATTAAAAATTTAATCTTAATCTTATTCATTTCCTACTATTCCAGAAAGTTATCCTAATATTCCTGTAAATTTCTGTCTTAAAGACAATAATTTCTCAATACCTTTATCTAAAAGACTAGGGAAATTTAAGAGTCTTAAAGTATGACCAGTAGGTGCTGTATCGAATACTATAACATCAAAATCGTATTTTTCTAATGAATTTACTAATTATGAAAAACTCATAGCCTCATCAATACCTGGAACTGAGCTTATTATTTCAGACATAAATGTTTAAGAAGCTTAATCAGTTTAAAAACCAGTAAAATCAGGAAATTTTATAGATTCGGGATCTATTTTCGGATCGATTTCCTTAATATATACATATAAAGATGTTTATATATAAATATTTTATACCATTCCATATAAATTTTATAAACCATTTACTGGAACTGGCTCTTTTCCGTTAAATTTTTAATCAAAACAATCACACAAATTATGTGCAGGATCAGTTGATATAATTAATACCTATTAATTTTATAATATATATATATATATATTTATGTTATTTATTATATATGTTTATTTATTTACTTTAGAACCGTTTTTAGATAATAATGTTGCTAAACTGGATGATGTTGTTGTTTTTCCTACACTTTTTTATAAATAATTTCATTTTTTGATTGTCTTTTTTTTTAAATTACCCTCCTTTTCCACCTACAAATATCCATTTTAATGTTTTTTTATCTAAAATATTTTATAATCCGTATTTTTAATCTTATTCCATTTTTTTTTTTATTTTTTTTTTAGTTAATTTAATAATAAATAATTTATGAAATATCTTTATTTTATTTTATATAATCTATTATTTGTAATTATAAAAAAGAAAAATAGAACATATTAATATATATTTTTTTATATTTCTTTTTTTTTTTGGATTAATAAATAAATATATCATTTATAAAAATAAATTAATAAACAAATGTAATTTAATTTAGAAATCAATTAATTGAAAAATTAATTATTTTAATAAAAAAAAAAAAAAAGGTAACATATAATAATAAATTATTTATTTAAAAAAAAAAAAAAATTGAATAAATATATTAATATATATATATATATATATATATATATATATATATATATATATATATATTTTATTTATACATATTTTTTATATATAATTTTTTTCATTTACAAAGATTAAAAAATAACAAATGAATCATAAAAAACATAAATAAATTAAATAAACTATTAATAAGAAATATTTTTCTACTGAAACTCCTTTAGAATTAGAAACGCCACTTTAAATTACATAAAACTCTCCAAATCTCTTAAATATTCACTAATCGAAAACTTAGAATTAATTTTTACTTTCAAAAACCCATTTAATGTTAAAAAGAAACAACGCACATATATTAAGTTCATATTTCAATAAAAAAATCACTCATTTATCTCCATTAAAAATGCAGATATATTTTTCTTAAATAAATTAACAGTAAAAAAATAATAATTTTACTTCCGTAAAAAATACTAAAAAAAAAAAAACAATAAATATTACTGAATAAAAAATAATTTAAAAAACGCTTTCAAAAACTTACAAAACCAAATTTTTCGAAAAGCCAAAAGACGACATTTCTAACCCAATCAAATATTACAATCTTTCTTATTTAAATTTTAAAAATTATAAATACCCTAGGCCTTTAAAAATGCCTCTAGACAGTGAAAAAGAAGAGAATAGGTAAAAAATGCCCTTATATTTATATCCATAATAAAAAGAAAATAATTAAATAGAAAAAATCTGTATTAAGAAATACTAAAATTTCCTTGACGATTTATAAAACGATCTTATTTTAAATAAAGACAAAGAATAAAAAACTTTAAAATTTCTAAAAGAAATTTCCACAATTTAAAATAAATTATAAACTGACCAAAAATACCAATAAAAAAATAAACTCTAAAATAACTCCTAATATATCTTCAATGCGCTAAAGCACAGTGTTGTTTTCCCAAATAAAATTTGCAATAAAATAGATTTAAATACTTAATTTTTCAAATAAAAAGCCTAAATTGAAAATCAATACAATTCAGTCAAAATTAAAGTCTAGTAATTAAAAGAAAAATGCGATATTGAATTATAGAAATAAATTTAAGATAAACAAAAAGCTTTAGAAAATAATTCTTCTTATATATATAAATAACTGCTACTTGTTTAATAAAATTAAGAATAAATAGAAGAAGAAATATATAAACAATAAAACAATAAAGAAATATATGACGAAAATGAAGAAATAGAAATAAAATCTCTATTAGAAATAAAAGAGGAAGAAGACTAAACTCTAGAAAGAAATTAATAGTTATCGCCAGAATATTTAAAACTATCGACATTAATAAATGGATATTAAATCCTAAAAAATAATTAACCGGTTTTAAGAGATAGAATTTTATTAGCTTTCGACTTAAATCCTTTTTCGGAAAGTTAATAGATTTAAAAAAATCAATTTTAAGAATTTTATAATTTATTAATTTTAAAAAATGTTGATAATTAAAAATTCATTTAATTTGTTATAAAAGTAAATTATTTTTTTATAGCCAATTAAAATAAAAATATAGTTCTTTCAAATTAATGAAAATGAAAATATGGAAAGAAATGAGTTTAAAAGAATTCTAAGATAATTAACTAAATAAATAGATGAAAGAAATGAAACAGAATCAAAAACTTTATTTGATTATTTTTGCGAAAACCTTGAACTTACACAAGTTATTGATTATAATAAACAATTTATTGATTTTTAAAAATTTGAAGAAGTTTTAAAAGACGGAAGGATTAATGTCCGAGATTTAATTGATTTAATTTGTAATTTAATGTGATTTTTATTATTCTATTTAAATAAAAAATAATCAATACATATATATATATAAAAAATAATAAGTTTTCTTATTTATATCTAAAATAAATAATTTTTGTAATTATATATTGAAAAAAAAAATATATTTATTAACTTTTTTTTTTTTTTTTAATAAAATAATAAATAATACAATATTATTTTATCTATTGGTGAAAAAAAAAAAAAAAAAAACTTTATTTTTATTAAAAAAATATAAAGAGATTAAAATAAACTAAAAAAATAATATATATATATATATATATATATATATGTTTTACTTAAAATCACAAATAAACGACTATTCATTTATTTTAGAATAAATAAAAAAAATATTATATTTTAATTTATAAAAAGCAAAATAAAAAAAGAACTAAAAAAAAACTCATAATTTATGTTTAAAAATTTAATTACATTATCAAATAAAAAACAAGAAACAAATAATATAAAACCATCACTTCCTCCAAATTTTGCAGATGAAGTATTTAATTTAGAATTAGAAATAGAAAATAAAGACATTGAAATAATTAAAGTTAATCGGTTATTAGAGTTATATTCTGTAATAATAAAAAAAAAAAAAGCCAAAATAAAAAAATAAAATAAATAAAAAAGTAAGCAATAGAATATTATGAAATCCAAAATAATGATAAATATCTAATATTTAAAAATAAAACAACAAACATATTATTAAAAAACAATGTAAATGTTGCCTTAGAAAAGGCATAATAATAAACTTAAATATAAAATGTAAAAAAAAAAATAATAAAAAAAAAATATAAATATATATGTATAAATATATATAAATATATATTTATATATATTTAATTAGTTTTAAAAAACATTAAAAAAAACTGAATCAACACCTAATTTATAATTGAAATTAAGACAAAAAGAAGTCGAATTAAATACAAAATTTATATATTAATAAGACACCAAAGATTCAGTAAAACATTTATTAGATATACACGCTTAAGAAAAATAAAATAATTTAAAGTTGATATAATAAAATACTTAATAATAATAAAATTTGATATAAAAGCGATTACAAATGCGTAAATAAAAAAAATGTGGCGAATCTTCTTAATTGGATGATTCTTAAGAATAAAGAAATGCTAATTCTTAATTACAAACTGAAATTATCGACTTTACTCATTAGAAAATTGAGCCAGAGATGCCTGAAGGTGAATTTTTAACTAAATAAATATTTTAAAATGATATTTTAGATGATTTTAAAATGAATAGTTTACTTTTTACTTAAAAGTTGATAAAAAAAATTAGCGAAGATATGTTAAAATAAGATTAAATTAAATAAAATCCTTAATAAAATAAATAAACTAAATCAAAATAAAATAAATAAATTATTTTTGGATTCGAAGATAGTACATTTATTCCTTTTTGAAATAAAAAAAGACTTATTTTTTATTTATAAATATATATATATATATAATGTATTTTTTTATAAAAAAATAAAATAAAATTAAAATTTATAAAAAAAAAAAAAAAAATATAATTATATAAAAGACTTTTTTATTTTTTTTATTAATTAAAAAAAAAAATTAAAATAAATAAAAAAAAAAAAAAAATAATAAAAAAAAAATCAACTTTTTCTCTCAAATTTATTATTCAACCTTCTATATTTTTTTTATATTAAAAAAATATATATATATTACCACTTATTGTTATTAAATATCATTAACTTAATCAGTTCTTTTTTAATACTTATAATTCTACCCTCCATGACCATATTATCTTCTTTCACCTTAATATTATCCCTCTTGATGCTATTATTTATCTTGTTATTAACCTTAAGGATGTTATCTATGAGGTCTATTTCCACCTTTAGTATTATTGTTATGGTGTTTGTTATATTTTCTTTAATCAGGATTACTAGTATGAGGTCTATTATTATTTTTATAATTATTTTCATCTTCGTTTTTCGCAGGTTTTTAAGGAACTTAAATCCATCCATCTTATTCTTGATTATTTTCATTTTATTTTTAATTATTATTATTATGTTATCTTCTTTCATTATTTCTTCTTCTTTATTAATGATTATTATGATTATTATTTTGATCTTCATTATTTTATCTTCTTAATTAATAATTATTATTATTAAAAGCTCTTTGATTATTATGATTATTATTTTATTCTTCATTTTCATTATTATAGTTATCTTAATTATTATTATTTTTATATAAGCTTGTATCTTTTTTCAAAGTATTATATTATCTTACTTATCCATTGTAATTATCATATCTTTTTTTATAATGATGTCTTTATTTATTATTCATTTCTTAATTTTATTCACCTTATTATTATTATTATTATTATTATTAATTTTATTATTATTATTAATTTTATTACTACTATTATTATTATTATTATTATTATTATTATTAATTTTATTATTATAATTACTCTTATTATTAATTTATTTCTTATGTTTTTACTTATTTACTAGGTGACACTAATTATTATTTTTCCTATTATTATTCATATTTGTTTGGAGATTCTTAAGCCAAAGTATTTTGTTACCTTTATTTTCCATTATACTCATCATGTTATTTATGATGATGATGATGATGATGATGTTATTTTTAAGGCGATTACATATGATTATGTTCTTCTTTTGGTACATCATGTGATTATTTCTTTTTTTTAGAACTTTATTCATTTACATGATAAGATTATTTCTTACATGGAGATTAAGTATGAACTTAAGCATGTTTAAATTCATGTAAATTAATAATATTTTCAACTTCTTACCATATATTTTCATTCTTATTTTCCAATAGGCACCTCAGGTTATTCTCACTAATCTAAATTCTATTCTCACTAACAGAAAGGAAGGTACCTTCATAAATTTCCTTTAATTACTAGTTTATATTAGTATTATGACAGAACTAAGTAGCAAAAAACAACTTTAAAACTTGACTTAAGTTATCATCATGTTATTATTATTATTATTATTATTATTATTATTATTTTCTTTCTTATTAAGATTCCTTTAAAGACTCTATATAAAATCTAGCCAAGTTTTCGAATTCTTAAGTTTTGGAAAGAATTTCATTTTTAGATTATATTTTTTTCAACTAGCCTTCTTTTAGTTATTTGCCTTCTTACTAATCTTATTCAAGATCTTTAATTTCATTTAATTTCTTGGTGTTATTTCTTACTTTTTTTTGTAAACTTAAAATAAAATGGTCTTTTTGGTTTTCAGGTATTTATTCGAATATACTTTTTTGGTTATTATTAGATTTTTTATTCATTAATTTTTGGGGGGGATTGTTGGTTTTTTTTGTTTTTTTTTTTTTTTTGAGAGGAGATTTTTTTTATTATTATTTTTTTTAATTTTATTTATTTATTTTTTTTTTTAAAAAAAAAAAAATATTTTTTTAAATTTCCACTTTCGAATCTTAAATAATCACTTTGTATTATTTTGTATATTATTTATTTTAGACACTTGTTATTATATTTTTTTTTATATATATTTTACTCTAAATTATTTGTACTCTATTTTTTATTAATTTATTTTATTTTTTAAATATTTATATACTTTTTATATTATTTTAATTTTTATTTTTAAAAAAAAAAATTCTGAAAAAAAAAAAAAAAAATGTAATAAAAAAATGGATTCTAGCCTTTTTTTTATTAATTGAATTTTAAAAAATAAAAATACAAAAACAAATAAAAATAAACAAACTTAAAAGTAATATTATAATATAGCATTTTTTTTTTTTATATATATAAATATTATTGGATTTTAACGATTAAATTAGATTTAAGTGCTTAACTTTTAAATATGGTGAAAAAAATAAATAAAATATATATAATAATTATAAAATAAAATTATTTGGAAAAAGATTTTGCTATAAATAAATTAAAATCTATTAAATTTGTATTTTTTTTAATTTTAATTTTTAACTTAAATTATTTTTAATCTATTTTTAAACATATAAAATTCGTTTTTTTTAAAAAAAATTAAATAAATTTTAATAATTTCTTTTTTAATTTAAAACATTATAAAACAATTAAAATTAAAATTTCTCAAAATAAATAATATAAAAGTATAAATTTTATACACTATAAAATAAAGAAAAAGAAACTAAATTAAATTCAAAAGTATATGTATATACATATAAATAAATATATTATTTTTAAGTTATTTTTACATACAAAAAAAAAATAACATTAATATCCATATTTTAATTCATTTATTTAAATTAATGTAATAAAAATTAAATAAAACATAAAAATATAGTGTATAAAACTAATATTTAATTACATATATATAAATATATATATATATATATTATAATATATATATATATATATATTTTTAAAAATATAATTAAAATATTTTTTTTTTATATATATAATATATAATATTAATTATATAAATAAAATTTTATTTTTAAATATATTATTGTTTTTTTGTTATATTTGTAATTTTTTTTTTTTTAAGATATAATATTTTTATTTATAAATATAAAAATTAAATAAAGTTATTAATTTTTAGATTATAATATAAGATTATATTTAAATAAAATAAAAATAAATCTTATTTATTTAATTTCGTTTTTATATATTCATATACATATATACATCATATTTGTAATTATTTTAATAAAAAATAAATGTCTATATAAATTTGTTAGTTGTTTATATTTTATATATTTATAAAAAGATAATTACATATTTGATATATATTTTTTAATAATTATATAAAAAAATTAACATAATTAATTATTCTAATGTCATTTATATATATATTCTTATTTATTATACAATAATAAAATATAAAATATTTATATAAAAATTAAAATTATACAATTAAAATAAATATAAAATATTTTAATAATTAGTAATAACATATATACTATATATTTAAATAAATATAGAAGTTAATACTTAATATAAAATATTTCTTTAATTTTATATTAATAATATATTAATATTTTATTAAGAAATTAATTAAAATATATATATTATATAATTCTAATTATTAGTTCCCAATTATTTATCTTAAATTTTATAAAAAAATTAATAATTAGAAATATTTTTAAAAATAATGTGTTATTTATACTTTAGCTAAAAAAAATTAAATAAAAAAATATTAAAAAAATAAAAAAAAAAAAAAACTTAAAAAAAAAATGTCTATAAAATATAAAATAAATCCTTAAAAAAACAAAGCAAAATCTTCTAAATAAGACGAATATTAAGTTGAAGAAATAATAGATTCTCGTATAAATCAAAAAACTAAAAAGAAAGAATATCTTATCAAATGGGAAAGTAAAAAAATTAAAAATTTAATAAACAAAACAAAAATAAAGACTGGGATATTTAAGACGCTACCTGGGAACCAATTGAAAACCTAGAAAATGTTAAAGAAATAATCCAAAGATACGAGAAAAAGCTTGGAAAAAAGGAAACTGAGAAAAAGCCAACCTAAACTCCCCAAAACTAGATTAAAAAGCCTTCAAATAATTAAGAAGATTCAGATGTATAGATAGTAGAATAAAAGAAAAGAGGTCCTAAATCTAATGCAAACACTGAAAACACCACTAATAAGCCAAAAATGAACAAATACCACAACTCCAGTGAAGAAAGTCAAGAAGAAAACTCCTCAGAAAATGACAAAAATCAACTAAATACTTCTAAAAAATCAGAACAAGACGAAGAGTATGTTTTTGAAGAATTTCTAGATAAAAAATCAAAAAATGGTTAAACATAATACTTAGTGAAATTTTAAGGTAAAAAATATACATATACATATATAAAATATATATATATATTTATATTTACATATATATGTATATATGTATATATGTATTTATGTATATATTTATATATGTATATATGTATATATGTATATATAAAGATATCTCCGAACCTCAATGGATGAATGAAAATGAACTATCAATGTTAAAGGAAGATATGGAAATTTTTAATAAGAAACTAGATACAAAAATTAAAGAAAAAATAATTCCTATTTAAGAAAAAATGAATACTATTTAAGAAGAAACAACACCATAATAATAATAATAACAATAATAATAATTAATAATAATAATAATAATAATAATAATAATAATAGTAATAATAATAATTGTAATAAATTCATTCTAAAGGGAAAAGAAATTTCGAAGATTTAAAAGAACTTATTTAGGGAGATTTTAAAACTGATAATGTTGAAAAAATCGAAACTGAAAGAGAATTTGATGCCAGGAATTTACATTCGGTTAGATTTGAGGTCTTTTGGAAAACTAGAGGGGACGGAATTACACCTAAATCTTCCTTTTTTTCCTATTCTTATTTGAAGAATTTCTATCCAATTGCTTTGGTTGATTATTTTGTTTAATAAAAAATAAACTGAAATAAAATATTTTATTATTTTATTATATTATATTATTAAATATTTTATTATTATATATTATTTTATTTTTAATAAAAAATTATTAATATATTTATTTAATATATACTTATATATATATATATTCGCTTATTTTTTTAAATTAATTTTTTTTTAAATACATATATATATATTAAATCCTTTTCTTTTTTAAAAAAAAATACAAAATAAAGTAGTTATTAAAACAAAATTAAAACTAAACTAAAACAAAATATTAAATATAATAAAAAAAATGGTTTCCGCCTGGTCAATCCCTTTATCCAAAAGAGGACAAATGTCAAATAACGAAAACTTTCCCGGTCCTGGCTAATATAAACCTGAATATTATACAAATAAAATACTAAAATAAGATCCTAAATATTCGTAAAAGAATAAATAATAAAAAAAAAAAAAAAAATTTAAAAAAGTATAGGAAATTCAAATAAATAAAATTAAATAAATATATAAACCCCAGCTCCTGGACAATACTAATATAAAAAATATATAGTAACAAAAATACATATATATATATATATATATAATATAAAAAAAGGGAATAGAAGCCCCGAAATACCATATAGGATAAAAAAACTATTTAAATTTTTAAGAAAAAGAAAAATGGCCTGGCCCATCTACATATTCTCCCTCAAAAACTAGCTTAAAATAATTCCCGAAATATTCAATTAGCCAAAAGTATAAGTTATAAAATGAAGATAAAATTCATTTTCCAGGTCCAGGACAATATGAGACAAATAAAACTACTTTAATTAATAGAAGTACAGCAAAGTACATTTTTTTTAATAAAATCAAATTTAATTTAAATATATATATATATATATATATATATATATATATATATATATATATATATATATATATATGTATATATGAATTAAGAATGTGTTTATAAAAGAGATAAGATTTAACTTATAATAAAGATATACCTGGTCCTGGCTAATATTAATAAAATAATAATATAATATTGAAGTCTTTTCCTAAATTTTCTATTGGAAATTAAGAGAGATAAGGTTAATTTTGGTATAAAACAAATCCAGGCGTTGGAGTATAATCTAATATATATATATATCTATCTATCTATCTATCTATATATATATATATATATATATATATATATATATATATATATATATATATATATTTATATATATATATATTTATATAAATATATATATAAGGAATATAATGTAAATTATAAAGAAAAAATCAAAGGAGGATGCATTAGCTCTAAAAATATTTAATAAAAAGAAATATATTAACCATGTCCTGGATATTATTCTCCTGAAAAAACAAAAAGCAAATGTAAATTCGGAACAATAGGAAAAGAATAAATAAAGTCTTATTAAATAATAAATTCTCCGGGACCATAAAAATACGAGTAACTAAAATATAAAATAAAATATAAAATATAAAAATATAAAAATTAATAAATACAAAATATAAAAATAATATATATATATAAAGTACTGTTAAATATGACAATTTAAAATTAAAAAACTAACCTAAATATTCCATAGGAAGATCATAAAGATCTCCTATTTGTAGAAGTGGTTCTCCAGGACCTTCATAATATAAAATAAATGAAATGTGGAATACTAAAAAAGGAGTAATTAAAATAAATACTATTATTTAAATATAAATATATATATATATATATATATATATATATATATAAATTTATATTATATAAATATATTATATTATATATATTAGATAACTATATAAGATAGAAACTTTCCTTATTATACCAATTATTTACCTGGACCCTCTGACTATAACCCTAAATTTAATTTTATATAACATAGAAACTGTTCTTATACGTAAATTAAAAATAAATGCTAACTTATATTTAAACACATAAAAAAATATAGAACACCACACTCTAAAAGAATAGGATTAGTAGATTTATAAGAAAAAAAGCAGATGCCCGGACCATCAGACTATAACTGTTTTTTTAAAGGATTCGGAAGTCATCAATATAGTATCGGAAGATCATAAAGATCAGGTGTTTAATAGAAAACATAAACTCCAGGTGTCGGATAATATAATCTTCCTCCAAAATTTGCTGATGTACCTAAATACTTATTAGCTAATGTTAAATAAAAGAAATTTTTTTGAATTAAAAAAAAAAACATAAATCAAATATATATATATATATATATATATATATATATATATATATATATTTATTATAATTAAAATGTTTTTTAATATTTTTAAATATTAAGATTGGTATTATTACTTATGATTCTAAAATACATGTTTACAATCTAAAATCTACCTTAAATTAGCCTTAAATGTATATTATTGCTGATATGTAAGATATTGAAATTCCTATACCTGAAAATTTAGTAGTTACATTAAGCGAATCTAAAGAACTTATTTTGAATTTATTAGAATCAATTTAAAATATGTTTATAAATACTTAAATTAATGATAGTTGCTTTACATTTGCATTAGATGTATATATTTTTAAAATATTAAATACATATAATTATTTGAAATAATTAAAAAAAGACTGTACTTAAAGTTTTTAAACATATAGGAGGTAGATTGTTTGTATTTTAAAATAGTCCAAAAATAATAATGGAGCCTGTATTTGCAGCAAAACCACATAATGATAACGTAAAAAAAGATATGTTAAATATAATATTATTAAAAATATAAAAATATAATATAGAGTAATAATAATAATATAAATAATTAATAATAATATATGGTTCCTGGATCTTCACATTTACGAAACATTTCAGCTGAAATGCATGCTAATTTTATAAATGTTTCAATTTTTATATTTTCTGATGCTTATAAAAACGCGATTACATTAGGGGAATTAGCAAGATATCTAAATGGAGATATTTTTTATTATAATGATTAAGAAACAAGAAGTTATATATATATATATATATATAAATATATAAATATATATATATAAATATATATTTATTTAAAATTTATTTTATTTTACATACAAATAAAGATTAATAATTATATTATGATCTTAAGAATTGCCTTGAAAAATAAGTTACATGGGAAAGTGTATTTAGAATAAGATGTACAAAAGGATTTAAAATACATTAAATATATGGAAATTGTAAATATTTTATATATATATATAATATTTTTACATAGTTTCAATTAAATCTACTGATTTATTATCTTATCCATGTGATTAGTAAAATTATAATTTTATTAAAATAAAACTAAAAAAAAGAAATAAAACCTTACTTTATGAATTCGAAATGGATGATTCAATTGCCTTAGGAACTAATTTTTGTATATAAACAGCTTTATTATATACAAATAGTAAAGGTGAAAGACTTATAAGATGTCACAATTATATAATTCCCTTAACTTCTGAAATTAATGATATATATAATGGTGCTGACTCAGCAGCACTTACATGTGCTATTGCAAGACCTATTATATCTAAAATGTACTTTTAACCACTTTCAGATTTAAAAGGTTTATTAATATAAGTAACCAAAAGAATAATAATAAGTTCCAAATAATTTAATGTGAAAGTAAATACGTAAAAAAAAAATAAAGATATTTTATAAAAATAAAAAAATATTATAATATTAAATTTTTATATTATAATATAAATATATAATATATATATATATATATATATTATATATATATATATAATTATTTATTTACACATTATTTAGAAATAAATACCTGAAGCTTTAAATTTATTTGCTTTTAATATGCTAGGATGCATGAAAAATTAAATTTTTAATAATATTTATTGTAAAAATAATATTAAAATAATTATTTTTATATATCTTAAAAGGTAATTCTATATCTACTGATGTCATGAATTCTTTAAGAATTTTATATAATTCACTACCTGTAGATGAATTAATGACTCATTTTGTACCTAATTTATTTTGTATTGATGATATGAAAGATTAATAAGTTTCATTTTATGATTAAAAGGGATAATTTGTTTACCCAGAACCATCTTCTCTAAATTTTAATTCTTTAGGAAAAACCTTATATTTGATGGATTTAGGAACTTTTTTGATTTTATATGTTAATATAAAGTAAAACCATAAAAAAACAAAATATTTTTTAAAAATATACAAAAATAGAAGTGATAATTAATAATTATTAATTGATGTTTTCGGTACATAAACTTTTAATTTAAATGAAAAATTAAATGAAGTATTTATTTTTTTAAAATTAATAGAATTATTTTTTTTAAATAAAAATAAAAATTAGAATAATTTATATGCAAATTAAAATTAAATAAACGAATAATTATTTTAACTTGTATAAGAATTAAGAAAGTATAATTTTAGATATAATATATATATATATATATATATATATATATATATATAATTTTATAAAAAAAAAGTTAAAAAAATACAAAATATTGTCCATTACATATTGTTTTAGCTTAGTCAAGTGATCCTTTAGAATTATTGTAATATAAAAAAAAAAATATAATATATATTTATAAAAAAATATAACTAAATCTAATATATAGTTTCTATTATAAACTTATTGAAGATAAATATGAACATTATATTGCTGGATATAATATAAATTATAGTACTTTTGTAAACTTAATGAATTGAAAAATCCATAAATAATAAATTAAAATAATAAATTTATTTAATTTTTATTTTAAATTCTAAAAAAATATTAAACAAAAAATTTATTAAAAAAATACAATATTAAACAACAAAATATATCAAAAATAATAAAAAAAATAATTAAATAAATAAATATATAAATATATACATTTAATTTTAGTATAAAAATATAATCATAAATTAATTTTTTTTTTCAAAAATAAGTCTCCCAATTTGAAACTTTCGAATCTAGTTTTTAATTAATATTATTTTATTATTATAGATCATTCTTAAATTAAAAAATAAAAAATAAAAATAAGCAAACATATAAGTAAAAATATATATGTATTTATAAAATTTATATATATATATATATAAAATTATTTATATTTTAATAAAATAAAATACATTTATCTCATTGACTATTTTTTTTCCTTACATTTCAGCTTTTATTATATCTAAATCCTAAATAATTTATTCTTTAGGAGGAATGTATGGAACATTAAATTTTTTTCCATAAGTTTATCCTATTAACATAATCATAATTATAATCATATTTTTTTATATATATATATAAATCTACCCAATCAAAATGACTAAACCAAGGATTTGCCTTTAATTATGCATAAGATGCTCCTAATCTTAATTATGCTTATTTATTCAATAATTATTTTATTATGTTTTTAGTATATCTATCTTTCAAAAATTAAGGAAATACTATTTCTGAGTGAATAATTTCCTCATAAACTTCATATGGGTCTTCAATATCTTCCGCAAAGGGAACATCTCCACACAAAAATTCATATAAGCAAACTCCTATAGACCATAAATCTACGCTATAAGTATATCCTGTCCCTATAAGAATTTCAGGAGCCATATAATGTGGAGTCCCTATTATAGTAAATGTTTTTCCGTTTAATCCTGTCAAAAATTTAGCTGTACCCATATCTATTAATTTCAAATATCCCTATATAATAATATAAATATAGAAAAATATGTATTTTTTTTACTTTTTTATCAACTACTACGTTTTCAGGTTTTATGTCTCTATATATAATTTAATTTTTATGTAAATATTCTACACATAAAATAAGCGATGCTGTATAAAATTAAGAATCATATATTGATAATAAACCTTTTTTTTGTTATAGTATTTATTATATATAATAAATATAAAAACATATATAAATTTATTTATATATGTTTATTATAATATACACACACCTATATCTCTTATAGCATAAAATAATTCAAGTCCTTTAATGTATTCAAGAAGAAAATAAATATTTATTTTATCTTTAAAGCTTTTAATAAATTTAACAATAAAAGGGAACTAACAAGCTTGTAATACTTTTTTTTCCTAAATAACATGATTTTCTAGACTTTATTCGACCACCAGTTATTTAGAAATAACCTTTAGGGCATAATGATTTTTATCAATAGTATTTTTTACTAAATAGACTTTTCCAAATTACCCAAATCCTAATTTTTTAATATAAATCATATCTTCTAATTTGATATAAGTATAAGATTGATAAGATTTATGTTCTGAACTATTATATATTTTCATATATTTAATTTCATGAGAATTCATATTTTTCATTAATACATTCTCTAAAGAATTACCTCCAATTTATTAATAGAAAATATCAAAATCAATAGTTCCTAATAAAGTATTTTCATCACCTATATATATATTTTTTTCCATATTTTTTTATGTATTATTGTCCAGAAGAAATTTTTCTCCGAAAATCTAACCTTTTTCAACTATACATTTTTCTTAATTCTATGAACATATATAATTATTTATTCATTTAATTTTTTTTTTTTTACATCTACAAGAATTCCTTCTAAAACAAAAATTAAAAAAGTACATGGATTTCCTTCTTTAAATAGGATATCTCCTTTATTATAATTAGCTTATTGAGTATTATTTATTACTTTTTCAATTTATACCTAAGTTAATTTCTATAAAACAGCATTTTTTTAAAATGCCCATCGAATAACATTATTATACATAGCAACCTTAATGTTATATCCTAATACTTTCTATATAATGTCCCTTCCTAAAGCAATACATTTAACATCATCTTCCAAAGCAGTTACTGTAGCACCTCTTTTCGAGTTTTAATAAAGAGCCTATTCTCCAAACGAATCTCCTATTTTCATTTTTCTTAATTCAACATTTCCTTTATAAATACCCACTAATCCTTTCTTTATTATATGATATGAAGATGCCATATCACCTTCATTTACAATATTCTCCCCTTTTTTATAAACTTAAGTAATTAATACATTAGTAATAATATCTTTTTAATAACTAGTCATTTATTCTTTGTATAAAGAATAAGAATAAATTTAAATAAAAAAAAAATACCAAAAAATTTAACTTTTTAAATAAAAAGTTTATTTTCTTCATATTCCTATAAAGTTATCTACTCCACAGCTTTTCTAAAAGTAAACCTATCAATAGCCCAAAATCCGCAAACACCAATAACTTTAACTGAAGCGGATCTATTTGCCCCATAAAGAAGAGCCAATTCTCCAAAGGCTGATCCTGGGACTAGCTTTTTTTTAAAAACTCCATTAATTTCTATTTAACATTCTCCTTTTTATATTATAAAATAATAAGTTGCAGGATCTCCCTATTTAAAAATATAATCAGCTGAATTTTCACAATAAATCATTTTTTAAATTATTTCTAATTTATATTAATCAGAAATTTAAGAAAATACAAAGTGATTTCCTAAAGAATTAATTATGAATGATTTATCTTCATCATTCATTATTTTTTTAACTTTTATTATTTACTCCATTATAATAGATTCTTAACTGCAATTTTCTACACGAATTTTCATGTTTTTTTTTTTGTTTATTCTTTTTCTAATAATTTAAGCTTCCTAAAATATATTTAAATTAATATATATATAAATATATATATATATATATATATATATATATATTTATTTATTATTCTTTTTGACATTATTTATTATTGCTTTAATTTTTTTTTCAAAATAAAAACTAAAAAAAGGCGATAATTATTTATTATTTGCCTTTTTTTTGTTTATTTTTTATTAAAAAAATTCAAAATAAAGTCTACTAAAAAGAATTAAATAAATATATATATTTATATATTATTTCTAATTTTTTTATTTTAAATACAGATTCTGTTTTAGTTTATAAATCATATTATGAACAACTTTTATATTAACTTCCTAAACAACTTGATTCTTCAATTTATACGTTATGTTCTATTTATAAACAATTATTTCCTTTATCTAAATATTATATTTCGCTTATTATTTCTTATTTATCTAATATTTAAATATGTTTTATATCTTCATAATCTTATTTGTGGTTATTATTTTTATTTATTTTTATACTTTAATTAATAAATTTATCTTCATTTTATGTTTACAATTCATGTAAAATTATTTAGTTTGCTTCTAAGCCTTTATCTTCTTTTTAAGTAAAACAATTTCCCATTTATAATTTTATAATATTTATTAATTTTAATGAATTCTATATTTTTAAATTAAAAAAAAAAGACTATTAATAAAAAAAAAATTAAAAAATACATAAATATATATATATGTATATATATAAATACATATATATATATATATGTATATATATATATATGTATTTATTTATATTTGTGTATATATATTTTTTCTAATAATTATCCACAAATGTAAATATAAAAATTAATTAAAAATTCAATATATATTTATATATATTAAAAAATAAAAAATTATGCATTAAAGTTATTTTTTTATTTATAGTTAATATATATATCATATTTTAAAAAAAACACATAAATAACGCTTATAGAAAATAAATAAATTCATTCTAAAGCTTCGTTTTCCCAATAACTACCATCAAATCTAAAACATCTAACAATACTTTCTTCTCCTCCACTAATAAATCCTCTTCCGTCAGGTTAGAATACAATTTAATTAATAGGTCCGAAATGTCCACTAATACTTCCTAATTCTTCCCCATACATAATATTGCATAGATGAATTTCATAACCTCCGTCCTTTAAAAATAATATATAAATATATATGCATAATATTACTTTAAATCTAGCAGTATCTCTAGCCGGTAAACCTCCTCCAATAAGACAATGATACTTAACTTATTCGAATTCTCCTGTAAGAAGTGGTGAAATAGCTACAGTATTCATCTAGACTTGTTATTTAATGAATCTTAGACACTTCAATCCATCCATATCCCAAAATCTACACCCATCAGACCCTGTAGTAGACATAATGGAGAAATCTTTAGCAAATTCAATAGCTAAAGCTTCTCCTTAATGTGCTTAAATTTTTTAAATTAATTCTCCTTTATCACTAAATTTTAATAAAAGTCCTTCTGTTGTAGTAGCGTAAAAATATTTATTTAAATAACTGTATCTTATTTTATTTGCTATATGTTCTTTTAAACTAAATTTGCAAACTGTGGGTATAGAATCATCTTTCGGTTCTCCATTATTATCTATTAAATGTTTCAAAAAAAATTAAAAATCATAAATTCCTACTTAATTAGCTGCTGTACTTCCATAATCTTCAAATAACTTATTTTTATTATAATTTTTTAAAAAAAAAAAATTAAAAAAAAAACTTACCACCATTAAATGTTTATTTCCATATGAAAATTCTAAATGTTTACATTTATATTTAGTCTTATAAGATCCTATTGATTTTCCTCCGTTTACTTCGAATACTTAAATTGTTCCTTCTAATGAACCAGTAACTAAATATTTCGAATCTATTGTTATATCTAATATTTTTACAGAAGAATTAGTCTTAAATGACCCTATACGTTCATATGTGTGATTTCTCCATACGTTTACTTTCTTTTCTGCGGCTCCTGTGAAAAATAAATCGCCATCGAAATTAAATTTTATGACACTAATGGGCTTTTCGTGTCCTCTTAATTCTATTGCTTTCATTTTTAATTATTTATTATTTAAGTGTTTTTTATTTTTTTCTTATTAATTTTATATCTTATTTTGTACTTTTATCTAAATAAAGATAATCATATTATATAAAAATAAATTAATATTATAAATATATATATATATATATTAATTGTTTTTTAATTTATTAATTAATTATAAATACATATATAATTATAATTTTTTTTTTTTAATAAATAAATTAGTTAAAAATACACCAAACAATTTTTTTTTAGTTTATTAGAAAAAAATGGACAAAAACGCTATTGGTATTACTTTATAAGATGAAATTAAAACTGAAAGATATTTTTAGACAAATATGAATTTAGAATAATGTTATACTCAATCAGATGAATTAAAAACAGATGGAAATTTAAATACGAATACAAATATGAATTTAGATAAATGCTATATTCAATAAAAATTTAAAATAGATGGAAAATTAAATACACTTAAGAATTAAGAAAAAATATAGACATAATAAGATTAATTAAAAATAGAAGAAAAATAATGTACTATTGCAGATATAATATTAGAAAAAGAAAAATAATTTAAATTACAAATACCATCAAAAAATTATTTTATTGCGTTTTCATTATTATTAAGTGGTATATTTACAATTTATTACGGAACAAAATGTATTTTACATAAAAAATATAATGGAGATTTACTTGTTCCATTAATATTGATAGGAATACTTTTATCTTGCTTAGGATGTATATATACATATATTTTAATACAAATTATTTTTGCTAAAACAATAATATAATAATAAATAATAATAAATGAATTTGAGTTCTTAAATATAAATATGTAATTATAATTATAATTGTAATAATAATAAAAGAAATAAAATAAAGTATAATAAAATAATTAATAGGAAATCTAAAATATATAAAAATAAGATGAATATTAAACATAATAATAATAATAATAATAATAATAATAATAATAATAATAATAATTATTTCAAATACAATCTTTAGAAATTAAATGATTTAAGATAATTTAATATTTAATAATTTATGTTTGTTTTAATATATATATATATATATATAAATTTATTTTTCTTTATTAAATATATATAGTTTTTAAAATGTTTTTTTATTTATTCTAACTTTTTTTTTTTAAGTAAATTTATTATAATAATACTTGAATTAAATGTAATTAAATATATAAATTTTTTAATAATATATATTTTTTAATTTTTATCACAAAGTTAAAAATTAAAGATAATAAATTAAATTAAAACCATAAATTAAAATATATGTTTATATGTAAAATATTAAATATTTATAAAAAAAAATATATGAAATGTTTATTTTAATTAAAAAATTTATCTTAAATAAAATTTTTATTTTTAAAAAATAAATAAAAATTATTTCAACTTTATTTACTAAAAATACTTCTTTATATATATTTTTCTTTTAAAAAATTAATTTAAATAATATTATTTTATTTTTTTTTAAAAAAATATATATTAATATTTTTTTTTATAACTTCTTAAAAAAATATTCTTATTTTTAAAATAAATAAAATAAAAATGTCCGATATAAACATCGATTAAAACAATCCCGAAAACCCCCAACAAGAAGATATTCCAATAGAAACCAAAGAAAATCCCATTACGATTTAAATACAAGATTTAAACCTACTCCGTTAAGTAAAAAAGGAAATCTAAAAGCGTTCTACGTCTTCCAAATCATAAAAAAACCAATATTCATCCCTCCTCTTACAATAATAAAAGTTCCAATAACTTTTAGCGAAAACCCTAAACTTACAAACCCGAGACTAAGCAAATGCTCAACTAAAAGAAATGATTAAAAAGGAAATAAATCCTCAAAATCTTCGTATATGGCTTTCATCATTAAGCGAATATCATAATAGACCTTAAAACTTTAATTCTTCATAAATTGAAATACTTTTAATAGGATATATAGCTTAAGTTTATAAGGAAAACTTATTAGATACAATGGACAAACCTCCTAATATTATAAAAAGTTCATATAGATTATGTGAGATGATTTAAAAATATTTCTATATAAGATAAATAAATGAAGATATATAAAATTCATGTAGTGAAAGTTGGCATTAAATATATATAAATTGCATGAAAAATTAGTCTTTAGAAAATAAATAAATTGTACTTTTCGAAACTCTAAAAAATATTATAAATGGAGGAGGAGATAGAATAGCTTAAATAAATGCTGTAAATGTACTAGAATAATTCTTAAAAAGATTAAAAGATTAATAAGACGATAAAATTTTCTTTGAATAAATTTCTAAATAATTCTTAACTTTTATTTTTATTGTAAATATATATTTTTTTTATATTTAAAAATTAATTAAAAAGAGAAATGATATTGAAACTCCGAATTTATTTTATTGTTCAAAACATATATTAGAAGTTTTACATATAAAAAATTTAGATAATACTTTTATAGATAATATTATTTAAAAATGCTTATTTGTCCTTAGATCTAAAAAAAGCAATTATAAGGTAAATAAATATTTAAATATATATAAATATATAAATATATATATATATATATATATATATATATATATATATTTAATTTTTATTGTATTTTATAATTAAAAGATTAAATTATCTACATTTGATTTACTTGAGTTATTATCAATATAAATTGTAGAATTTTAATTAATTCCATAAGAAATATTAAGAATTTAAGAAATAATCGAAATACTTTAAGAAAATACTACAGATAGAATTATATAAGTTTAATGTTGTTCTAAACAAAGCTTAAATAAATGGCTTTAATTATAAAGTTTATTTATTTAAAATGAAAAAAACTGTCAAGAATAGCAAAATAAACCAACATATTAATAAATAGAATTAAAAAAAGATTATATCAAGAAAAAAACAGGTACAGGAGGTGGTTATTTATTAATAAATACTGAAAATATTAAGAAAAGTTCATATACATCATGTTTAGAAAATTAAAAAATTTTAAAAGAATATATATTTAACAATAAACCTATGTGCTATGTTCATAATAAAAGTCCTGATTTAAATAAAAATTCTAAATAAAAAAGCTATATTGAAAAAGAAAAAAATAATTTAGATTAAGATAAATATGTTTTAGAAGAATAATAAAATTAATAAGATTCAAATTAAGAAAACATTATATAAACTGTTTAAATATAAAACAAATAATAATAAAAAAATTAATAAGAATAAAATCAGAATTCTTATTTAACTAATATATGGAGTTAGGCTTTAAATTTTGCAGATAATGGTTAACTTGATAGTGCTTTTGAGTGTATTTTATAATCTGGAGATGATATTTATTTACTTAGATTAATGATTAGGAATAAGGATGAGTTTAGGTATTTATAAAAGGAAAACTAACACATGATTATTAAAAAAATTATATCATTTATCCAAAGCAATTTTATTGTAAAACTTTTTCTTAATTATATTTCTTAGAGTATTGATTGTGGATTATCAGAATTTTTCGATGATAAAGATTAAAGAAATATTCTTTATATTTTACATGAAATAAGCTAAAATAAATAAGAATAAGTAGGTAATGATGCCACTTAATTATTTCAAATGTATTAAGATATTTTTACGAAAATAAATTTTAATCAATGATTTATTTATATTTTTTTGTAAATATATATATTTGAAACAAATAAGATTTTTCCCTTTTTTTTTATCTTTTTTTGTTAATATATGCTAATAATATTTATTTTTTTAATATTAATTAAAATATATATATATTTTTATTTTAATTTATATAAACATTAAAATATATATATATATATTTATTTATAAACAAATAAAACAAAAAAAACAAAAAAATTAAATATAAAAAATGTTCACAACTAAATTCTTAGCTAAAGCCTCATATCTAATTAGGAATTCTTATTCTTTATTCGCATTATAAAACAGCAATTAAATGTTGTTTAAATATTCTACACGAAATAATATTATTTTTAAATCATTAAACAAAAAGCTTGTTTATAAATTTACAGGTAATAAAAATATAAATATATACATAATTAATTAATATATAAACAATATATATATATATAAATGGATTTTTAATAAAATTATAGCGTATCCAAAGCACACTATTATTAGGTATTTTTCATTTAAAAAAATAAACTAAAAAAAACTCAACTTATTTTTGTTTTTCTATAAAGATTACCTGCTCTTTCTCCTACCATGACTGAAGGAAGAATAGCTGCTTGGCACATAAAAATAGGTGATAAAATAACCGAAGGAGATAATATATTTGATGTGTAAACTGATAAAGATTCAGTTCCTAATGTTTGTAATTAATTTTTTTTTTTTATTTCTATTTTTAATTTTTGTTTTTTAATTTTGATTATTTTAATTTTTTGTTTTATATAGATAACGATGATAATGGATTTATTGCAAAAATATTAGTTAAGGAAGGTGATGTCATACCTACTAATACAGTAATAAAAAATTATAATAATCTTTTTATTTTATTATATAAATTATTTTATATTTCTTTTATTTATAAATATATATATAAAAAAAATAATCTTTTATTTTTATTTTTTGAATTAATTTAAAAAAATAAATTAAATATATAATAACATACATTCTATAATAAAATACAAAGCCTGTTGTACTTGTTGTTAAAAAACAATCAGATATCCCAGCTTTTGAAAACTATTCACCTGAATAAGCTTAAGAAAAACCAGCTGAAGCTGCAAAAAAAGCTCCTCCTTAATAATAATAATAACCACCTTAATAATAATAAAATCAATCATCCGGAAGTATAAAAAAAAATCTAAAAAAATAATTTTATATTTTATTTTATTTTAAAAAAAAAGAATCTTATCCTAAATATAATGTTGTTCTGTAAATTTTTATATATTTAATATGTATATATATATATATATATATTTATATAAATTATTTAAAAAAAGTTTACCTGCACTCTCTCCTACAATGACCGAAGGAAGAATCGCCTCATTCAAAGTAAAAGAAGGAGATAAAATTAGTGAAGGAGATAACATTTTTGATGTATAAACAGACAAAGATTCAGTACCTAACATGTGTAATATAAAAAATTGTTATAAACACATATATAAAGCATTAAAAAAAAAGATTAAGACAGTACTGGTTATGTAGCTAAGATTTTAGTTAAAGAAGGCGATATGATTCCTACAAATCACGTAAAAAAAAATAAAAAAATCACACAATATAAAACTAAAAAAAAAAAGCCTGTTCTCATAATAATAAAAAAAAAAGAAGATGTTGCCAATTTTAAAGACTTTTTAATTTCAGACATTAAATCTTCCCAAGATGCTCCTGCTGCTCCCTAAAGTTAAGAATCTGCTCCTTAATAATAAGTATAATAATAACCATAATAATAATCACAATAAAAATAATAATAACCATCCACAGCAGGAGGACGTGTGATTGCCAGTCCTTATGCTAAATTTTTAGCTTCTGAGAAAGGTATAGACCTCTCTAGTGTACCCGGTAGTGGTCCAAACGGCAGAGTAATTGCCAAAGACGTAACTTTAGCTTCCGAAAAATCCCAATAACAACAACAATAACCTGCCAAAGCCGAATAAGTAGAGCAAAAAGTAGAACAGAAAGTAGAACAGAAAATAGAATAAAAAAAGCCCTAAGCAGTCAAAGAACCCTAAATGGAATAAACCCCTGGTGGAAATATATTCGAAAGACTCCCTATTACTCCTATGAGAAGAGTAATTGCTGAACGTCTAGTCTAATCAAAAAATACAGTTCCTCATTTCTATTTAACATTAGAAGTATAAATGGATGATATACTTTAAATTAGAAAATAACTAAACCTACAACCCGAAACCAAAATATCTGTAAATGATATAGTTGTAAAAGCCTGTGCATTAGCCCTAAGAGATATGCCTAGTGTAAATTCTTCATGGTAAGGAGATCATATTAGATAATACAAAAATGCTGACATAGCAGTTGCTGTTTCAACAGATACTGGATTAATTACTCCTATTGTTTTTAATGCCGCAGCTTTAGGTTTGAAAGAAATTTCAGCAAAAACTAAAGAATTAGCTAAAAAAGCTAGATCTGGTAAACTTACACCTAATGAATATTAAGTAAATATATAATATAATATTTTATATTTATTTTTTTAAATTTTAAGGGAGGAACATTCACTATTTCTAATTTAGGAATGTTTGGTATTTAAACATTCTAAGCTATTGTAAATCCACCACATGGTACTATTTTAGCTGTAGGAGCTTCTTTTGAAAAAGTTATTCCTGATAAAGATCCTACTGCTAAATACCCATTTAAGTTTTATATATACTTTTTTTTAATATTTATTTTAAAAAAAAATATATATATAGAACTATCTAATCAATGAGTTTAACTTTAAGTTGTGATCATAGAGTTGTTGATGGTGCTTTAGGAGCATAATGGTTATAAAAATTAAAAGGATATTTAGAAAATCCATTAACTATGCTTCTTTGATTATAAAGATGATAAATACTAAATTTATTATTATTATTTTTACAAAAAAAAAAAATATATATTTTTTATCATAATAAAAAAAAAGTTATTAATAAAAAAAAAAATATTATTTTAATTATTAATTTTTGATTAATTTATAAATTAATTTTATTTAAAATAAATAAATATATATAATATTTATCTTTTAAATAAAAATATAAATATTTAATAAAGTATATGATTGATTATATATGTATTATTTATATAAATATTTCAGTTTTAGTTATATATAAAAAAAATCAATTAAATTCAAGTTAATCTGGTTATATAGTCTTTCCTGTAGGCTTCATCGTTATTTTTTAAATATCTCTTTTCATACTTTTACGCATATCTTTTTATTAATATATATATATAAATAAAGAAAAAAAAAATATATATTTAAATAAATATATTAAAATATAAATATATATATATATATATATATATATATATATATATATATATATTTTTTTATATTTTATATTTTTATATTATTATTTTATTAATTATTTTAATTAAAAATACCATATCCATCTTCTGATTTACCATTTTAAGAACTATAATATTTATTCACTGTTTAATAAATATCGTAACCTAAAGCTTTATACATTCCAACTGCTATATTATTAGAAGGTCTAACAAACAAATCTACAAACCATCCATTGTATTTTTCAGTTACTTATTCTAAATAATCCATTAAGAATCTTGCAATTCCCTATCTTCTGGAATCAGGTGCTACTGTAATAGCCTTTTTATTAATAAATAAATTTTTATGTTTTATTTTATTTTTATATTTACAGTAACATGTCCATGCCAAGTTTTTTTCTAACAATCATCTTTATCACCTTCTATTTTTCCTAATACTATTTTTTTTTTTTTTAACTTATATATATATATTTTACAATAAGATTAGAATTTTCCAGTACAATTTATTTACGTTATACAATATTCGTGCCATTTTGCTATATATTTTCCATAAAATAATGTATTATACTATTTATTTATTTTGAACAATAAATAAAATGAAAAAACTGTTTATATTATAATACTGTTTCTGTCAAAATATCTAAATTAATATTATTGTATTCTAATAAATCAAATAACTAAAAAGGTCTAATTGTAGCCATTTTTTTAAATTAATTAATAATAGTATAAATATAAATAAAATAAATATATTTATATTTATATATATATTTATATATATATATATATAATTATATATATATATATCTTTATATATCTATATATATATATATATTTCATAATATATAAAATATGTCTATTAATATTTGAAATAAATGAAAGACAAAAATAATCATTTGATTAAAAAAATATAAAATTATATAAATAATAAATGAAAATATTTTATATCAAATTATCTAATTAATTTTTTAAAGTTTAATATTTTTCTAATTTAAAAAAAATATAATAATAATAAAAAAAAAAAATATAAAATAAAAAATGTAAGTATAAACCTCACCACCATCTTCCTAATAATAAACATTAACCTTATTTAATGGAAACCGCGAAATAAGCCTTTCAGAAATCCGAAATTCTATTCCCTCTCATCTTTTTATCAAATATGAATCAAAATTTTTAGTTTCAGTCTTATATTCACTTTCTTCTACTTTGGTTTTAGCTTACTTAGCCCAAACATTTATACCTCTCTCAGTTTTCTACCTACCTTTATGGATTTTATATGCAATTATAACCGGAACAGTAGCTACAGGACTATGGGTATAAAAAATATATATATTAATATAAAATATATAAGGTACTAGGACATGAATGCGGCCATAATGCATTTTCAGAACACAAATGGGCAAATGATATTCTAGGTTATATAATTCATACAGCATTATTAGTTCCTTATTTTTCCTGGTAATGGTCCCATCATGTCCATCATTCAAAATGCAATCATTTAACCGAAGGAGAGACTCATGTCCCTAGAGTAAAAGGAGATAAATGTCTTGAATGGAGAAAAAAATTAAAAGAGATTATTGGAGTAGAATCTTTCTCTATATTATAAATAATAAGTATTGCTTTAGTTGGATGGCCTTTATATTTAATTATAGGAGCCACAGGAGGTCCAGCAAGAGGCTCAACTAGTCATTTTTTTGTCCCTAATAATCTTTTTCCTAAAGATAAATTACTAAAAGTCCATTTTTCAAATTTGGGTTTGATTTTTGTATTTTATTTACTCTATTTATGGGCTAGAGCTACTTCTTTTACATATGTAATTGCAATCTATTTTGGACCTTATTTAATTGTTAATAGTTGGTTAACTATAATTACTTATCTTTAACATGTATTTTTTTTTATTTATTGATTTTTTATTTAATTTAAATAAAAGTCAGAAGAAAATGTACCTCATTATGATAATAAAGCTTGGAATTGGTTAAAAGGAGCTGTTTCTACTATTGATAGAAATTATCCAGAATATATAAATGCTTTACATTTTGAAATCGGATCTACTCATGTAGTACATCATTTATTCCATGAAATACCTCATTATAGTGCTAGAGAAGCTAATTTTTTTGTCAAATAAATTTTAGGAAAAGCTTATTATAAAGATAAGAAAACTATTTTTTAAGCACTTTTTGATATAGGAAAATTAGATTGTGTTACTGAAAAAGAAGAAGGAGTTTATTATTATACATAATGATAATTTTTTTTTTAAAAAAAAATAATAATAACTATATTTGATAATTTATTATTAAATTATATATATTTTTTTTTTTTATAAAAAAAAAGAAATTACAAATATATATGTTATAAATATTATATATATATTTTTTTTTTTTTCATAAACTATTTTCTATATGAAAAGATACTTTTTCTAATATATTTAAAGGATTTTAACTTGCTTATATTTTAAGAATAATTCTACTAAAACTTTATTCCATACTTTTAAGTAACTCTTTCCATCTTTATAATCTTTTAGAGACAATTTCTTTTTTCTCATTTGGATTTTCAGCTAATCTTTTATTGATTTCATGATCATTTGAAGGATTAAATTTATCATAAACAATACCAGTTATCGGATCTACTTTTTTTTCCTAAAATCTCTAAAAAACAACTTCGTCACTACATTCTAAATGAACTATTAGAGAAGGATAAATTTATAAATCTTCCAAAGATAATTACTAAACTAAGTTTTTAGGAAATCCGTCCAATACATACCCTTATATAGAACAATCGGTTTATCTTATTCTATTATCTACTAATCCAATAATTATTTCATCAGGAACTTTTTTTATTTATAATATATTTATTTATATTTATATTTTAAGTTTTACTTAATTCTCCTAAACTTAGTAATTATAAAGCTATTTTTCCTATTTCAGTCTTTTAAGCTATTTAATTACTTATTAATTATGTTGTAGATACATATAATAGACCATATTTTTAAGCTAATTATTTTGATAAAGTTGATCTTCCAGAACCTAATATAATATAATTAAATATAAAATTAATTATTTATCAATTTTTTTTTAAAAAAAACCTGGAGGACCTATAACTAAAATTCTTGCAGATTTTTTAGGAGCTTTTGGTTTAATTTTAAATTCCATAAGATGCTAATATATAATTTTTGTTAAAAATATTTTAAAAAAATTTAGTTTTTTATAAAATAATATGTTTATTATAAGAAATACTGCCATATCTTCTAATAGTTCAGGAATTAAAGAATCATTGTTTGCATCAACATCAAAATAATACCTAGCATACATTTCTTTAACATTATTTAAATGCCTAAAATAAAATAAAATAAATTAATTTAAAATATATACATATATAAATATAAATAAAAATATTTAAAATAAATATATAATATATATATATATATATATATATATATATATATAATTATTATATTTATATCATACAATATATATTCAAGAGCATGATTATTTGCATATTCTTCTTTTTTTTATTCTTGTATATTTGAATAATATCCTTCATAATTATTTTATATTTTCTTTCTTTAAAATTAATTTATAATTATATATTTAAAACAAAGTTATTTTAATTTTACAAACAGCCATCCCTTATTTTATCCTCTTCCTTATTTAATATAATGAATGTATTTGGATGAATTCCCGCTTTTTATAATGCAATACATTATAGTCTTGTTTTGGGAAATCCTTCAAGGAAATAATTCTTATTTTTTTTTTCCATTTCTTAAATTTCACTTTAGACAATGTCAATAACTGTTTCGTCATCCACATATTAAACATTTGATATCGCTTTTTCTATTTCCTCCCCTTATTAATTTTTCATAGAAATCTATTTTTTAAGTAGATCGCCTACACTTATACATGTAAATTTAAATTCATTAGCTAATTATAAGGCTAATTCTGTTGTGTTTGAACCTGGAGGTCCAACTAAAAATACTCTTTTTTCTAAATTTATAAATTTTGAACTATTTTTATATATTATACATATATTTACATGTAGGTTCTCCTAATTTTTTTATTAAATAATCTAATGGTTATGCTGGTTAATCTTTTACTATATCTTTCATTAGATTTTCGAAAATATCATAAACCTTATTTTCTTCTAAATACATTTCAACTTCTTGCTAATAATCTAATTTCGAAGTTTTATCCATTTTTTACTTATAAGTTATATTTTTTATAATTTTTTTTAAAAAAATAATATCAAAATTATTAAAAAAATAAATCATTAAAATATATAAATATTAATATATATATCGCTATTTTATAAATTTTTTAATGTTAAAGAATGAATCAAACAAAAAAATTATTTCATTTAAAAAATCCATCTAATTGATTTTTAAGTTATTTTGAATAATTTTATTTTTAAATACATATCATATTTATATTTATAAAATAAATAATTTATATATTTATATTATATTAAATAAAAAAAATTAATTGAAAAAAAATAGAATATATTCGATTAAGATAAAAAATATATATTTATTTGTTAACTTTTAATATAAATTATTTATTAAATAAATAATAAAATTTTAAATACATACATATTAAAGAAACAATATGTTTTTAATAATAAATCTTTTTAATTTAACACATATTTTTTTTATTCAATTAAAAAAAAAATTATAAATAAATTTTTGAAAGCATATACATATACATATAATTAATATATTATTTGGAATTTAATATATGGTTAATTGATATATAATAAATATCTTTTAAGAATATGTTCATGTAATTCAGTATTTTGATATAGCTTTAATTTTATTGAAAAAATATATAAAAAGCAAACTTTTTATTATATTTTTATTATTTGAGTATTATATTGATAATTACTATTTTATTAATTTAGATATATTATTGTTATATTACTTTAATTAATAATGCCAATATTATTAAATAAAATATTGATTTATAACTTTTTAATATTAATATCTTTAATTTTTCTTATAAACACATAAAAAAAAAAAAAATTAGAAAAATACGATATCAATAAAATATCATTTTATTTATTTGATAGAGTATAATAAATAAAAATACAAAAATAAAATAAAAATAATATTTAAAAATAAATTAATATATATAAAAATATTTTTTTTTAAAAAATATTATTTTTTATAATGTTTTTATATCTTATTTTTTATGTTTTATTATATTTAGATTAATATTATAAATTATTATGATTTTTAAAGTTTTTTTATTTATAAATTAAATAAATAAGTAGTTTTTATTTATTTTTATTTTTTTTTTTAAAAAAAAAAACAATAACTTTTAAAAATATTATTAATAATAATTATATAAATAAAAATATATATATATATATAAAAAAGTATAAATTATATATATTAAATAATAATAAAACAAAAAAATATAAAAATAAGTGTATAAATACCCTTAATATTTATAAAAAACAAAACAAAACAAAAACAGCAAAAAACTATTTTTTTTTTTTAATAAATTTCATTTAACGACTTTCTAATTTTAATTTTATTATTTTATAAAATTTTCTAATTCTTAAATTTATTAACAAAAGCTCTCAAATATCCCTTCAAAATCAAAAAAATTAAAAATTTTAATAATTTCCTAAAACTATTCTAAATTTAATTTTAAATCTTTTTTTTCATAAACTTTTTAAAAAACACTAATTAATTTCTAATGACTTTTTTAAAATTCCTTTGAAAAAATTTAAAACTACTAATCTTGATTTTTCTTAAAATAATCTTTAAAATTTCCCTAAGAACTAAAAATAATCATATTCTAAATACTCCTACAACTACTAAAAACCTCTGAATAAAAAATCTCTTCAACCGAAAACCCAATTTCCTTCAAAAAAACCTTTTCACAAACATAAGCTGGTGTATAATAAGCCAAAAAAAAATCCATATCATCCGAAGAAGCCCCAAAATCAATAAATTTTAAACCAAACTAGTTTTTTTTTTCAAAAACAAAAACTATATTAGCTGGTTTGATATCCCCATGGAATGCCTTATTTTAAAAAAACTCTAGGTTCATCAAAAATAGTTATTTTAATAAAAAACAAGCTTAAAAATCACCTAAAAATTAATTTTTTTTCCCCTTTAAAAAGTTTGTAAAATCTAATAAACTGCAAAAACCTAATTCCATATATAAAGCTAAATCTAAAAAATCATAACAAATTAATTTCGGAATACATTTCATATTTTGATATTTTGTTAATATATAAAGTTCATTTTCGAAGCTTTTATAATCTTCAATTGTTTTCTTCGCAACATTCATCTATAAAGGCTTAAATAAATATTCCTATACACTTCCAAATGAACCATTTCCTATTTCTTTAATATACTCGAAATCTGGACTTCTTGTGAGTTTAAAAAAACCGTTTGGGAGATAATTTATTAAATAATTCTGGTTAAAATCCTTAAAATGAACAGAATTTGTATCTTTTTTTGCTTTTTCGAGTTATTAAAGAATTATTTAGAATAAAGAATTCCTCTATTTTTCATCTATAGGGAGACTTTGAATATATTCTAATGTTATAAGGGAAGTTTGTTATGATTTACCTTCTAATAAATGCTAAAAGTTATAATTTTATTTGATTGGCTTTCGAATATATAATTCAAAATTTTCAATAGATGATTGTTTTAAAGGTTTTATTATTTTTTCAGGATTATTTTTTTAATGTCTTTTTATATTTGAGGAAACTCGATTGTTTTTTTATTATAATTTTCGAATTTTTAAAGATTCATATTTATATTATATAATAAATTCTTTTATTTTTTAAAATATGTTTACTAAAGAATACATTATACTTAATTTTTATAAAAAAAAAATGAAAATAGTTTATTTTTATTTATTTAATTAAATATAAAAAATATAAAAAAATTATGAATGATATATAATTATTTATATATCTTTTTATGATTTTTTTGAATTATTTATATAATTTTGTTCATAAATATATTTTGTGTATATATATATATTTAATATTTAATTTTTAAAAAATAAAATATATTAAACTATTTTTAAATCATATATTTTAAAAAGTTCTCAAATATATAACTGATATATTAATATAAACCATATAATTATATATAAAAAATTATTTAAAGCGTAATTTTTTAATGTCTTTTTAAAGATATATATTAAGTGTTTTTCTCTAAATTAATATTTTATATATAATATATTCTATAATCTTTTATAAATTTTTAATTAAAGTAAAATTATCTATTTTAAAATATAATAGGCACATAAATTATATAAATTATATTAATAATATATATATATTTATAAATATAAATATATAAATATATAAATATATATATATATAAATATATTATATATCTAATTTATATTATATAAATAATTTTTATTTTGATTAAATCTATCTATTTTTATAGATTTATATCTTTTTTTATTATATATTTTATATATTACTAAAATAAATTATAATGGAATATAAAAAACCAAAAAACTATATATAAATAGAAGAAATAATAAATTCACCTGGATAATCAGATGAATAAATATAATTATTATTTTGTACAATATGTTTATAATTGCATGCAGATTTAAAGATAAAAGAATGTATGAATTGCGATTAATTATTTTGTGAAGATTGTATTTAAAAATGGAAATTAAAATCAAACCAATGTCCCTTTTGTAAATCAAACGATTGGGAATTAAAAAATCTTCATAGAATTTTAAAAAATCAAATGGAATAACTTTTAATAATATGTCCTAATTAATAATAAGGATGTTAAGATACATTTAAACTATCTGAAAGATAATCTCATTTATAAAATAATTGCTAACTCTAACCTATTAAATGCTAATATTTATAATGTGATTAAGTTTTTTTAAGAAATGATAAAATAAATCATGAAAAAGAATGTAAATTTGTTTCTATTAAATGTGAAAAATGCTAATAATTAATATATATAAATACTTCTAATAAAGAATAACATGATTGTATTTAAAGCTTATTTAAGAAAGTAAATGAATTGGAAAAAAAGATTATAGAAGAATAAATTGATAAATAATAAATAAATATTAATTAAATTAATAGATAATGTCCAAAATAACATATTCTAATAAAAAAATACTTATGTTTAAAAAAAGATAATAGAAATTGTAATTAATGTAAAAATAATTTTAATTAATATAATCATATTTATTATAATTGCGAATAATGTGATTATGATGAATGTTTAAGTTGCTTCGAAAAAATTAAAGATGGTATAATTTGCGAAAAAGGACATGCTTTGAATTATAATTAAAGATCATAATATTGTGGTTGTGATCTTTGTGGAATTAAAAGAAAAATAATAATGATATTTATTTATGTTGTTTAGCATGTAATTATGATATTTGCGATGATTGTCTTTTTATAAAATATAAAGTAAATGATATTATTTATTTTTATTTTGGTCTTGTTTTTTTTTAAATAAATTTCACATGAATTCGATAATTAAATTTTAAGTTTTATCTTTTTTTTTTTTAAAAAAATTATTGATATTATAATATAATTTTAGAATTAAAAAATATAAATAAAATAATCTTATTATTTTTAAATATTTTAATAATAAAAATAAAATAAAATATCGAAATAATATTAAATGAAAGTTAAAAAAAATATTTCAAGAATAATAATTTAGTTATTTTATAAATATTCAGTAGAATTATTTTTTATTTATATTAATAAATATATTTTTTAAAAATTTTTAACTATTTATATTTTGTATAATTATATTTTATTTATATTTATTTATTAAAATATAAAAATATTTATTTTAATCTTTTTTTATTAAATATTTAATAGATTGAATAATTAAATGTTATTTTGTTGATAAAATTTTATACAAGAAATATTTTATTTATTAAAAAAAATATGATTAGTAGTATTATTATAAAAATAATTTAATATAATGAAATCCTAAAAATATATAAAAATAAATATAATAATTAAAAAAATATGAAAATTAATTAAAAATACTATTACATAAATAAATATTTTAATATTAATTTAAAAATAATTCAATATTTT